TACTCTGAATTTAAACTCCACTCATGCTCCCGTCATGATGTTGTAATTACAGGCCTCCAACACCAACCCTCCATCATCTGATGGTTAAATATACTTCAGATGTTACAGTGAGACATGGGCGCTCTGCTTTGAATCACAGAGCTGGAAGGAATACATCACTCACAGTGAAATACTTCAGGACATGTTCACAGGCAGCAAATGTCCACAAAGGAAGGAATCAGTTTCTCTGTAAAGGAAAAAAAAAAGTCAGAGGCTTTGTTAAAGTGAAACATACTTTATTATTGTGACTGCAAGATGGAAAACAAGTGCAGAGTGTACCGACTGGTCTTCCTCAGGGTCAAACAGGCCTTCACTACTCCTGTAATCACTCCATGAGCAAACACTTTGGTGCAGATGATAGTCATGAAAACATATGTAAAATCTTAATTTGGAAATACTCAAGTAATGTACCTCAAAATTGTACTTAAGTACAGTATTAGAGCGGATGTACTGAGTTCCTTTCCACCACTGTCTATATCAACTATATACATTTGTAGAAGTGTAATATTACCAGGTGGAGCATAAGTATTATGGTCAAATACCTAAACTCTGAATTTAAACACTCATGTATGTATCAGCAGTAGAAGTCCTGCATTACTGTTATGAGGAATGTTTATGTTCCTGAGTCATGAGTTTATATGACTGTTTGCAAAGTTTAATCACCACCTCATGAGTCATAAACAGCCTTCAGTCTGCTGAGGGGGAGGTGTTTTATAACTCCACTCCCTTATTATTTCTGCTGTGTTATAAAAACACAACAGCAGCTCTGGTTCTTCAGATCTCTCGATGTTTCCTCTCAGCTCTGGCTGTGCTGTCACTTTAATCTGCATTTTTTAACTCTTGTTTTTCTCTGTTCTTCATCATCATCATCGTCTCGCCACCACGAGACTCAGCAGTGTAAATATTTGCAGAAATATGAGCTGAGCTGTTAGAGTTCACCCTCACTTCTGTCCGTGCAGGAACACACCCAGTGTACACACAGCACTGTAAACCAGGTTACAGATAAGATATGAGCTTTATGGCCTGACTGAACCACTGCAGGCAGTTTAACCTTGTTTTAAATAGGTTATTCATGCTTATTGAATTATAAACACTCGGTGATCTCGTTCCCAATCCTCAGATACCCCTCAACTCACAGTTGATATTGCAAGTTTAATCTTCATTTCAGGTAATCAACCAGAGGCCTGTACTATGAAGCAGGATTTGAAGTTAGCAAGATAACTTAACTCTGCTGGTTCTTTTTACCAAGATAAATCACCATGGTAAATTATGGTGACAGCTAATCTGCTCTGGAGCAGGTTAACTTCGGCTCACAGCCTGTCATCACCTCAACCACTGACCAATCAGATCACTGATGAAAAAAGTATCCATGGATAAAAGTACGAAAGTACAGGTTTTAAAACAGAGCTTCTAACAAACACAGAGATTGTTTACAACACTAAACACATGATTTTAGGAGAATTTGAACATAGGCTATGCAAACTTTATATATATAGTCCACAGTGACAGTGCTGCTACTTTTACACTCTGATTCCATCACTGCAGCTCAGAATAACATGAGACACCTGTGTCTTGAGAACTGGGAAACAGAGATAATATTTTCTTAGTGAAATAATCCACTCACTGTTAATTGGCTCCTGTTAAATGCAACATTTGGGTCAGACAGACCTCATTAGTCACTGACTACTTTTCCAACCTTTACTTCAGCAGAAGAAACTGTCTGGCATTACTTTAAGGTGATTTATGTGACATATTCATCATCATCCAATTAAATAGCAAAAATACTATAATAATGTCACTTATAGTCAAGTAAGTAAGTAAGTAAGTCAAATTTATTTGTATAGCACTTCTCACAGAGAGAATTCACAAAGTGCTTCACAGGATTAAAATACAAACCAAGAATACATACATACAAACATACAGAGACACAACATGAAACAGCAGCAGTTGTTGCAAAACTAAATCACTTAAGACAAGTTGAAGAATGCCTGCCTGTACAGGTAGTGATACCTGTAGAGATACCTACATGTAATTTAAGACTCTGCAAATGGTGACTTTTTGCATAGTATTTTCAGTATCTCTACATTTCTGTTATAAGATTACAGAGTACTGTTCACCTCCCACACCACTGACATTTTACTGTCTCGTTGTTGGGAACTTTTCATCTCATATGATATGTAGTAGCATACTTTATTTGTGTTTCTGTTGATGTTGCTCGTGATGAACAACCCCGCCTCTTCCACATGAACGCGGTCGTGACTGGATAAGAAAACCCAGAGTTGACTGAACTAGTTGATAACCAGCTTTGTAATAGCGGTTATCCAGACAGCCATTCTTAGGGTTAGTCAAACCAGATAACAAAAAGATATCTTGAATAAGTTGAACTGGCTTCATAGTACAGGCCACAGATGTTTATTTGTTTGGGTGGGGTTTTTTTTACATTTTTGATTGTGTCTGTATGATGCTTCACTTGAAAAAAAAAATTCTGCTCTTGTTTTTCTAAATTAACGCAATCACAATCTCAAAATTTTTCTCTAAAACATTTTCATGGAAAAAAAAGTAGCTCTTGTTTTTCTGAATTAACAAGATAATTTCTTTAATTCTGAAAAACAAAATGTATTAAATTATTGGACTTGGTAAATGGGCTCGCATTTTTATAGTGCCTTCCTAGTCTTCCAACCACTCAAAACATTTTTATATTACTTGTCACTTTCACCCATTCACACACACACATCCATACACTGGTGGTCGAGGCTGCCATACAAGGTGCCACCTGCTACTAAATTTAACATTCACACGCACTGACACACCGACAGAGCAGAGTAGTTCAGGGTTCAGTATCTTGCCTAAGGTTGACATACAGACTGGAGGAGCCGGGGATCGAACCATAACTGGATGACCCGTTGTACATCCTGAGCCACACACTTGATTTTTTCATTAAGAAAATCTTAGAATTATGAAGTAATAGTCTAATAAGAGAAAATTAAGAGTAAAAGCCATTTCTCTAAACAATAAGATAATAATCGAATTTATTCAGAACAACAGGGCAAATATTTTTGTGAGAATGATTACACTTCCCAGGTTTGTCCCCAGTGGAGGAGCCAAACTATTTTTCAGTGGTTTCATGGCTAAGACTGGTGTTTATTTTCAGGTGGCACAGAAATTGATGCATTGTTGATGTCACTTTTACACTTCAGATTTGATCCCAATTAAACAAACAAGATAAAACATGTTAATCAGTGAGCTTCAGAGGTGCTGGTAGGTGTATTTTGTTACCTCTGGACAGAACCAGGCTAGATGTTTCCCCCTGTTTCCAGTCTTTATGCAAAGCTAAGATGTCAGATTTAGTCCAACTTTTGGACCAGTATGGGCCCTAACATTTCCTACATTGGCCAAAAATATCTAAAGATGCAGAATAATTTAAATATTGTACATTATGGGGCGTTGGTGGCTTAGTGATAGAGCAAGCACCCCATGTACAAGGCTGTTGCCGCAGCAGCATGGGTTCAAGTCCAGCCTGTGGCCCTTTGCTGCATGTCATTCCCTCTCTCTCTCCCCCTTTCACACTTAACTGTCCTGTCCATTAAAGGCAAAAAATGCCCCAAAAAATATCTTTTTTTAAAAAAAAAATATTGTACATTATAAAATAAAATGATGCACATACAGATCACACAGTGAGAAGAAGCTGTTTCTGAGCCTGGATGTTTGAATCTGATCATCATACTGTACAAAATATTAAAACACTGATATGGGGCTTTATGTGTACAGCAGTTTTATTATTGTATCTATTTCCTGTATCCATGTTCAGAAATTTGGCTCTTTGGAAAAGAGCTGACACTCAAATTTATGAATTCATAAAGTTTATCTGAAGGTGTGGTTATCAAAATGTGTTTAGCTCACATTTAAAATGATAAACTACTCATTCATAAACACACTGGCTTCAGTTTTAGGGCATCACACCACTGCAGACAACATTAATCAATAATTAATTCACAGGATGTTTATCTGCCAACAACGTGTGATGATAACACAGTTTGTATGTGACATCTGGCACAGGCCAAAGTACCATCATCACGTGCTAAACATAGGCTCAAAAACATGGTCTACAAGCTCATCTGTGTGGTTCCAGGAGGACTGTCTGCAGGTTATTCCATGGATATGTACTGTACAGTATATGAGTGGATGTTTTCAGATATCATTTTGCGGCGATGAAAATATTCAGGTCCTTTACACAAATAAAAGTACAAATTCTACACAGTAAAGCAATTTGAGCATTACTAAGCAAAAGTACTAAGAGCCTGCTTTTATTTTCCTTAACAGAATAAGTCAAAAGTATTGTATCTGCATATTTCATCAAATGTTCCCAATTCAAAACAAAGTCCTTATAAAATGTCGTAGTGATGGTGACAATTCATCTTTTTATGTAAGAGCTACAAGGTTATGGGTAGTCTTAATAAATTAACATCATAAGCATACTGTTACAGTAAAAGTAGCAATACCAAAGAAATATTTTGTTACATGTAAAAATCCTGCATTCAAAATGCAAAAGTATCGGTGTTGAAATATACCCATTTCAGAATATAACATTACTGGATTCTAATGATTCACGCATCAGTGTTTTGTTGCAGCTGGTAAAGTGGAGCCCATTTTAATTGTTCTATATAGCCTAATGCTGAGTTGCTTGGGAGTTTTCCCCAGAGATCAATAGTTAGTAGTCAGTAAAAAGGAGCCTACAATATCTCCCTCCGACATGAAATGACGTATGAGTATAAAGTAGCAGAAACTTGAGATACTCAAGTGAAGTACAAGTAACTCAAAACTTGGTTCAATGTACGTAGTTGCCTTCCACCACTGCTGTTACATTCATTTCCAAAAACATACTAAGATCGTTTACATTTGTGTCAATTCTGCAGTTCCACACTCTGTCCAGCTGGTGGCAGTGTGTAAAACTAGTTTGCCAACACCGTATTAACACCAAAGAAGAAGAAGTATGAGCTAATCTGTGTTGTTAGCAAGTCGACAATAATTAAACTGAAAAACGTAACACGGTGAGTAGTGTAACATGTTGTGGAATGAATAAGATAAAGCATATCGTTTATATTAAGCTATCAAAGGGGTAATATATAGAGCTGATGCTTTCTTGCATGAGAAGAAAGCTTGCAGTTTAGCAACCTGGCTAACATTAGCGAAACACACCGCTTGCTAACTCAGTCAGCGCAATAACGTTAACTTGATTTATTTATTTATCTTACCAAACTTAAAGTTAGCATTTCAGCCAGCTTTACGAAAATAAATTTGTGCATTTTTTCCCACCGTGTAAACCTAAAATGCCATAGGTCTCGCTTTCGCCTCAATACGAACCATTTTTCACAATCAGAAAAGTTGGCACCGAACTCCATAAAGAAATCTGTCAATTCAAAGATACCTAGTTATTCAGGAGACATAAAAGTCTAGTATGACATCAGTTCAAAGCGGGAGGATCCACTTTTCATTCGGCGTTCATCTAATATACCATTTTGATGCAATGTTACGATTTTTTCTGGTCCTACTGACACCTTATGTTCCCATCACAGGCCGTGGCTCGTGCCTTTTAAATCGACAGGTTTCTCTATAGGGTTCTGTATGTATCAACGCTGTTTGCACAAAAATCTATTTGAATGCCAAACACTTAAAGGTAGAGGTATGTCAGTCGATACCAATATTGCCGAGCTGCTCACAGAGCTACGTTATTTACCATTGACCCCCATTCAGAAATCTGCCAATTCAGAGATACATGGTTATTCAGGAAATATAACAGCCCAGCTTGACATTAACCAAAAGTGGTAGGCTCTACATTTTAATTCGCCTTTCATCCAATGTACAATTTTACTACAGTGTTAAAATTTATTACACAATTGTTCTGGTACTAGTAACTGCTTGCAGTATTTTTTCAAACCAAAAGCCATGCACGAGGCCTTTTAAAATGACAGATCTCTTCATGGAGTTTTGTATGTATCAACACTGTTCTAATAAGACTTTTATGTCTGAATGCCAACACTTTAAAGGTACAGACATGTCAGCAGACACCAAGATTGCCGAGCTGCTCACAGAGCTGCATCAGCTCATCAAACAGACCCAGGTAAGTTGGTGGCATTGGTTAATAGTTATTACTACTGATTATGGGAGTAAATGTTTGCCATTTTTTTGGATGTACAGTACAATGCTCATGCTCCTTCAAGTTAACCAGATCCAAATAATCTCGTCTGTTTCCAGGAGGAGAGGTCACGCAGTGAACATAATCTGCTCAACATTCAAAAAACACATGAGAGGATGCAGACAGAAAACAAGAGTCAGTTTTCACATTGCAAACTCTCCCCCCCACCCCCCACCCCCCACTGTTTGATTTTTCACTCAACGCTTTTTTCTTCTTCCTCTGTCTCCTTCAGCTTCTCCATACTACCGGACAAAGCTTAGAGGACTGTACACCACAGCCAAAGCAGATGCTGAGGCAGAGTGCAGGTGTGTTGTCACTTCCTTTTTAAAGCTACTGAATGGGTTTTGGGTGATGGGGGGAAGATAATTCAGATGAGTGGTTGTCAAACTAATCAGGGGGAATACAGGAACAATAGACGAACAAGAGAGCAAAAACTTCAGTCAAGGCTGTGTCTTTAGGCCATTTTTCGGCAACATATTTTCATTTGCACAGCAATGACTAATGAGAAACATGCATGCCTAGAGACATGTTCTTTTTTATTTAAATATGTTTCAGCTTGACTTATTTTGCTGCTATTTTTTACCAACATTATTAACAGTTGATAAAAAAAAATTAAATGGGTTTACAAAGGATGGGGGTGACTAGGCATGAATGTTTTCCTGCTTTTAAGATTTAAAAAAACTGGTTTAATTTAACTGGCTTAAAGGTTATTTGTTTTTATTATAGGACACACACAGCGATCAGTTAATTAAAAAAAAAATACACAGTTTTTCACTTAACCCTGACATCTATTATCAGTCTGGGTTGATGGTCTGTATTTGCAATTAAAATTGTTTTTGATGTATTTTTGCTATACAGGTTTTGCCTTTTAGCTCAAACAAATTATCTTGTAAGGTAGCCATTGGATATTCTATAATTTAAATGATGTGTTAACCTCCCTGATTTTTCCTCCAGCACCCCCATTTAGGTGTAATGTTCACTTGGACACAAGAACATCAAAATCAAATTTTCAGTTTGTCTTGTAATGTCCAGTTTTCCTTCATGTTAGCCCGAGAGCATTTCTGTCCAGGTGTTAGAGTTGATCCTCACTGTACTCTTTGTTCACTTATTTCTTTTACTCCTCACAGCATTCTGCGTCATGCTCTTGATAAAATAGCGGAGATCAAGTCTTTGTTGGAGGAGAGGAGAATAGGTATGTGTGTGATGAAGAGAGATACTGATCAAATTCAAACTTTGCTCTCTAAGATCTGCAACAGGATTTTCGTAACTTGTGGTTTTTGTAATTTGAACATGTTTCTTTGCAGCTGCTAAGATGGCGGGAGTTTATAGTGACAGCGACCCTCCCAGAAAAACGATGAGGCGAGGCGTCCTGATGACACTCCTCCAGCAGTCAGCCATGACGCTCCCCCTGTGGATTGGCAAGCCGGGGGAGAGGTAGCTGCTGCTTGTCCCTGTTTTCTTTACAGCTTGTAGACACACAGTTTCCAGATTATTGAGTTTGCTGACTAGAGTGCAGTATAATAGAATAAATCAACACAAATATAGCTAGGTATATGAAATATAATGGTCAGAGCCCAATCACATCCCCTTAACATTTTATCTTTTCTTTTATATTATTTGTCGATGAAAGTGTTGTTTCTTCATTCACAGCTTTTGAATGACTTCTGGTGACCAAATGTTGAATATTTGTCGAGGCAGAAACTCACTCCACAGCAAAGCTGCTCTGACAGATGGAGCTGCTGCTCTGCACAAACACCAACTAAAGTCATACATGCTAAAATAAGTATTTCTCATCCCTATTCTCTGTATTAATCTCTCTCAGCCCGCCTCCTCTGTGCGGGGCCACCCCAGCCAGCAGCGACTACGTGGCCAAACAGGGCGACAAGGTGGCAGCGAGGGTGAAGGCCGTGGACGGAGACGAGCAGTGGATCCTGGCTGAGGTGGTCAGCTACAACCACTCAACCAACAAGTAAGAGCATCATACAGTTTAAACACGCATATCATAACCAGAGTGTAGTTAAAGTGTCAGTAGTAAAAGTCCACACTATTAGCTTATCAAGACAAAGTATCAGTACTGAAAAGTATCTAAAGCTGTCAGATAAATGTATTGCAGTAAGGACAATAGTTCCCTATGAGATGTAGTGGAGTAGAACTATAAAGAAGGATAAAAATGAAACACTCAAGTAAAGTACAGGTACCCTCGAGCTTAATTAAATAAATGTAGTAACCTTTCACCATAACCTCCATAACTTTAACCCCACACTGTAAAATATTCCAGATATAAGGGTTTGACCTTCAGGATGTTAAACCACAGCTATACTGAATGTTTCTGAAACTCCCAGGAAATCTGTTTAATCGATGTCAAACAGAATCTTTTCCTCACCTCTCCCTGCAGGTATGAAGTGGACGACATTGATGAAGAGGGCAAAGAGTGAGTTCTTCTTAATACTTGATTATGAACATCACTGATGTCTTCTGTGTTTTCAACCTCTGAACTTTATCATTGTCTTCTCTTTAGGCATTTTTTTCTTCTTAATCAATTCTTCTTAATCTTAAGCAATCTTAATTGGTTCCTTTGAGGTTTAATCTGATCATGGGTTTTCCAAAAGTTTTTTATTCTAGCTGAACATGAGAAGGGTTTTACCACAAATTGTGTATTTTTTGAGAGGTACATCCTCCTGATTGCCAAATGTCACATACATACTTTCCCCCCAATTTAATGAGTACTCATTTAAAATAAGACTAGGAAAAAAATGTATTTGCAAGCTGGATGTAACAGTAAATTTTAAGTGCAGGGAGATGTTCACAAGTAGTCTTTCAAGGAGGATCTCATCAACCAGTTCCAGGCTCCTCCATGTGTCTCAAGTGTGTGTACGTGTGTGTGCAGGAGACACACTCTGAGCAGACGGCGGATCATCCCTCTGCCTCAGTGGAAGGCCAACCCAGAGACAGATCCAGAAGCTCTGTTCAGCAAGGACCAGCTGGTGCTGGCCCTCTACCCCCAGACCACCTGCTTCTACCGGGCCCTCATCCACACTCCACCACACAGGGTGAGACTGTCAGCACTCAGCTCTGCAGTATTTTTAGCAAGGGTTAAAAACTCTGCTGTGATCTATGGTGCTAATGTATGATGCCAAAGTTAAGATATCAATGCACTGTGCACTCTGCCAAAAGTTGGGTGAGCTTGTCTATGGAAGTCCATGATAAATGATACTTTACTGGGAGTGATGGACCAGAATCATCACTGCTGCAAAGGTACATTTTTCTTGTCGCTGTAAAGTTGGGAGATCATTGGGGTTTTTTTTTAAGAGAAGCACAAAAAAATATTTTTTTTGTGCTTCTCTTTTCATTTTCATTATAAAAATAATGAACGTTTCACAAACCTCTGTATTCCACTGTACTAACACTTAACAAGCCCCAAAGGCAACCGGTCACAACAGGCTGTAAAACATCTGTTAAGCTATGAAACTGAAAATACTGATACAGTTTGCTTTTTCCTCGTCCAAGTAATTAGCAGTTAGCATACTGGATGTATTTCCCATCACATCCCCAACAACGGTGGAGCAATGCAGATACATCGTCCTTGTCCTAAACACAACTCTCTTCGTTACTACCGCCGGGCAGGTCTTCCAGCTCGGCCTTTTCATTTGCACTCACCATATTGTGACTGTCTCACAAGAACCTGGTACCGCATTACATGCATCAGTCTACATACTGTACTATGTATTCTGCCTGAGCTGTGTGCACTGAACTGTGATCTGTACCATGACGGTTCAACTGGAATACACAAACCATTACAGCCCTATTCCCCCTCTCTGAGATGGGTAAACACAGGCCCTGGACATGCCTCCTCCCTCTCATGTCTCTAAATCATCACCGTTTGATCAGATGACACAGCAGCCACATTAATCCCTTTAACACACCTGATAAACCCACCAACCAGGAAACAGTGTCATAGTTGTTGCCATTAATTTGTCTGGCCTCCTGACAGTAACACAGCCTCACACTTGTTACAGATCTACAGTCTGCTCAGAATCTAATCCTGGAGTGCAGACGACAGAGTTAAGTCTGTGCACGGAAGAAACTCTGTCACATCCAAAATATAATCCTCTGAATCCTGGTTTTGTTTGTTGGATATCGTCATGTTTGAAGCTTTCAATCTAAAGCTTCTCCTGACTAAAAATATGCAACTTGAGGAAAATGCTGCCCCAGATTCTTCTCAGGATGTCAGAGCCTACCGCCAAACTAACCTCAGCATGTGTTTGTTTTCAGCCTCAGGACGATTACTCAGTGCTATTTGAGGACACATCATACGCAGACGGTTACTCCCCTCCGCTCAATGTGGCTCAGCGATACGTGGTCGCCTGCAAAGAGAACAAGAAGAAGTGACTGGCGACTGGATATCAGGGCGCCAAAGGATGAAGATGAAGCCTGTTTGAGAGCATTGTCGTATTTTGAAATTGCATCGATCTCCATTTTTGTATAAAAAGATGTTCAGAAATATCGGTCAAAACTCAAATTAGGCTCTCATGCTTTTGATTCAAATAATATGGAGCAGGTTCTGGTCTATTGATTGATCACTAAAGGTGATAATAAATTCAAAAACCTATGTTGAGGTGAGCTGAGGTGAGAGACACCAGTCAGTCAAGGAAAACCTCTCCTGACAGACCTTTGTTTTAATACTTATCATCTCTTAGATTAGACTGTCAAAATCGCCACCAAGATAAGACTACTACTACTACTACATACTTTGCAGTGTGGAACTGGGACACAGCAACTGAGTTTGTATTCTAGAAGAGAGCGAGGAGCATCTAGCGGCCAGCAGAGGAACATTTTACTGAAAACACCAGCTGGAGCACCCAGCTGATTGCTTATTCTGCCTTGAAGGGCCTAAACTGTACATTTTTTACATGTCAAGTGTTGATGATTGTTGTGTGAAACAAAAACTTTGAGACCAAAATGTTTTGATGCTTCTTGTGTTTTTTCTTCAGGCACACAACACATTTAAAGTTCAACCTTCATCCCTGGAATCAGCGACGTCAGGACGTTTACTTAAGAACTAGCACAAATTTGAAGTACTTATACTTTGTGTTTTCATGTAATCTTATACTTCACTACATCTCAGAGGGAAATATTGTACTTTTCACTCTATTGGTCACTTTCACTACAAATTAAGATTTTTGCACACATAACAGAGTTCATAAAATATGATGTTTTGTAGTGATTTATACCCAACAGTTTATACAAGTACACCTGAAACAATTAGTCCATCAGTCAATCAACAGAAAGTTATTTGGAAGGTTTTGATGATTTGCTCTATTTTAACAAACCAAACAAGCTTAATGGAGAAAATAATCAGCAGATTAATCCATAATGAAAATAATTATTTGTTAGCAGTTCAGTCAGCTCCACCTCAACCGACTACAACGGTAAAATTCTGCTTTTACATGAATTTATGAGTCATGATAATCTAATGTTATCATATTTAACTATAGCAGTCACGGGACATTTTTCTACTTCATTTCTATGATTATACTTAAAATACCTTTACCTTAGTAACAAGTGTTGACCATGCACAAAATCTGTTACATTTCACCCTTAGATAAAAGTACTTAAATAAGGTGCCAAAAGTAAAAGTACTCATCACACAGAATGCTCCATTTTAGAATTATATATACTATATTATTGGATCATAATTTATACAATAATGTGTTCATCACATTATTGTTACAGCTGGTAAAGATGGAGCTCATTTTAATGCCTTAATGCCTTTAGGCCGTTTTTTCTTTTTTTTTTTCCAATAATCCAAATCTGCAGAGTAATTAAAATTATCACATAAATGTAGTTCAGTAAAATGTACAATTTGTGTCTCTAATGTTGACGAGTAATATTATAAAGTTGCAGAAAATGAAATACTCACATAAAGTATAAGTACTTTAACATTGTACATACGCTACAGTAAGTACTTGAGTAAATGTACTTTGTTACTTTGCACCACTGGTGCTGATAAATATACTCTCTTAAACTTACCTGTCATTGAAAGCTACCTGCTTTTCATTAACAAGTCATCCCTTATTGGGAATCAGATCAGATCAGTCACTGCTTTTGGTAGAAATTATATTCCTACATGGCAAATAATTACTAGCAGGTGTAGTAGAGTAATAGAAAACCAACAGAACAGTCATGATATGCATGCTGCATTTGCGTGTGTGGAAATAAAAGCTATTATAAGGATTTGGGGTTTTACTCACATTTTTAAAGACACTATTATTCTGAACACAACTGCATAAGCATAATTTAACCCCACATATGGTCCATATTTGGAATAATAAAGGTATATTTATTAAGAGAAAATCTTCTTATTACAAAGACCGGGCAGAGAGGGGTATCTGGTCATTCATTCATTTATCAAATAATCATGGTAGCATTTTAATATATAATATTTTAGTGGGAAAATACAATCTTGTTTGTACTGACAGGCTAACACCTAATTAAGGCAATTCCACAAGCAATAATTGAATTAATTAGAGTCATGCTGAATTATTATGCATTCTACAAGAGCCTTCATTAGTTATGGATGGATGTAGTTTTTTGTAGATTAAAAAAATGCAATAATAAATTAAAAGGAATGTTCAAACTTCAATTTGTTTCCCCATCACCTTTGAAGTGAAGACATATCTTCCAAGAACACAGCAGTAATTTGAGGTCTCAAATAAGAACCAGATACCTCTCTTTTCCAATTCCACCCAAGGCTTAGGAAGCTCACTTTAAAATTAAAGCTGCAAGCAGCGATGTACGGGCCCTCGCACTTCACATATGTTTGACTGTGACGTGGTTGGTGGGTCTGCACATGGACTTTTTCAAATGTAGGTGCTGGACGTTGCATATAGTGGTGCAGTTATTTGGTGGTAGTCAACAGCCACAGAGTAACAGACACACTTGGCAAATAAATGCATGTTGTTTTGATGTTGGTGAGACCATGTGACTGAGTCTTTAAGTTATGAGTACTATTCATCACAAAAGAGGGCTGGCATGGTGGGCAAATAGAACCTTTTTATAAAACCTACACACAGCCAAATATTTGAAAAAGAAGTTTTATTGACATGTTAAAAAAGTTTACACAAGTTGTTAAAAAAAAGAGTAATAGCAATTATTTGTATATTGTCAAATAAACAATGTGCATAAATGTAGTTTTGTACTTTTGTAGTTCTTCAGGGTGAGCTTTTAGATTGCAGGGCTTCTTTTGGTGGGTCTTGTTCATCTGCAACAGACAAGAAAACCAATACAGTCATGTCAAGTAGTATACTTCAAGTACACGCACATGTAAAGATGGGTTCTTAAATGTAGCACACTAACAGAGATATAACTTACCATTTGACAACACCAAAGGATGCATTTCAGTCTCGGTTGGTTCATCTATTGTCATGTCTTCATCAGTGACATCTGCAAAACACAATAATATTCATGATGTATACATGATAGTCTTGGTTTTCTCCACACAAACCTTCCAAACATTAATATTGATGATTTACATATCAACTCTACTTACTGTTTGTCTGTTGCCTTGTGTCGTGTAATTTTCTTCTCAGTTCTGACTCTTGAGCCTTTAGTTCAGACAACTCCTGACGCAACATGGCATTTTCCTCTTGGAAAGCCCTGGTCTCCTGCAGTAGGCACGCCATCATGTTAAGTGCCCTGTCTGCAGTGTCCACACACATTTGGTAGAGCTCCTGGTGCGTTACTTCTGTGTCCAAGCAGGATTACTGGAATATACAGAACACACAAGCTTTTATAAGATATAGTCACAACAATAGCGACATACAAATACACAAATTACATGACAACACTCACTAAATTTATCAGCAAGTACTTATACAGAGCAGTTGGAAGTCACGACGCAAGTCCATAAATTCAGGGTCGTCTATGGTGCCAAATTTAGCCTGGGACCTACAACCCATTTTCTGTAGGAAAACACAACACATTTTGAAGTCATTATATATCACAATGTACTATCAACACAAAAGCAGTATGTGGTACATATATGAACAGGTGCTTTAACCCAGGGATACACTTAATGCTGTAAGGCACACAGTTGTAATATTACAACCATCTTTTGTAGTGGTTGTAGTATTTGAAACTTCTGTTTCTGTGGCAGAAACTGATTCTGTTTGTAGTCAGTAGTAGTAGTAGAAAAAAATACATGTAACTGATTTTGGGCTTTTTTGGGGCTTTGTTTGTTGTTCAAATGGTTGCCTGTTACATTTCTTAGAAACAGGTTCTGGCTGTTTTGAATGTTTAGGGGGGTGGCTGGTGCATTGTTTGGGGACAGGTGTGAATGGACATGAAATAGGGATGTAAATGTTCTGTGGGGATGCACTTACTCATTTAGGTATGGTTAGTAGCGAGCATGATAAGCGAATGAGGCAGGACTGTGTGAATCTAGTTGAATGTATAAATGATTTAGGATCAATTTGTACGATATTATTTAGTTTGGAAATACTTAGCTCTCAATCATGAACACTTGGCCATCCATCATCTCTTCCATCAGGTTATGTCATATAATAGTTTTGTATCATTAGTACATATATTTATTTATTATTATCTGTTTTTATACATTTTGAATGCCACAAGCAAAGACAGGTCTTCTATCCTATGTGCAGGATGTGATTGTTGCAATGTGGAGAGAGTGATTTTGAAATGGAATCAGACAACAGTAATGCGAGTGTTGAACAGTCAGATAAAGATGCCAGTGAAGTGGATGGTAAAAACCAACAACTGAGAGTCTTCCCAGCCAGTGATTATCAGCGAGTCTCAACCAAACAAACACACCATGCTTGTGACAAGGTTATCGGTTGCTGAGAAATTGCACATTTTCCAGAGAAGACGCAGAGAGGAAGCTGCAGACACTGCAATAATGGATAAACCAACACGCTATGCAGCAAAGTCATCTTTACTTTACACAGAAAAGAGGTGTTTTTACTACTATCATTGTAAGTGGACATGGGTGAAGTTGGGACGGAGACTAAATTTTGTAAATACAATTTTATTCTGTTTTTGTTTTTTAATTTATAAATGACTATTCATAAAAAATAATGCCTTTGTTTGATTATTATTCATGGTATATACTGTTTTGGGGCTAAATTAGAAGTCTACCCTGCAAATTAACCCTTAGGTGTTCTGTAAATTAGTTCAGAGAATGTGAGTAACAATACAGAAATGCATTTTTTCAACATTTCCCTAAACTTTACTAAAATGTAAAGAACTTGAAAATTCTTTATTTTCTGCATCAGTGGCCTTTTACAATAACATCTGAAAGGTAAAAAAAAAAAAAATCTATATTTGGGCTTTCTAAGGTTCAACAAGCTTAAGGGTACTCACCTTTGTTTTCTGAAGGAGATGTAATGAGTCACAAGTCGATTTCCTCAGGGGAATCCCAGCTGCAATGAATATACAACGTCCAACACACACCTTCTTAAACTCACTTCTTTGGGTGTGGCCAACACCAAAAAGGGCGTGCACAAAAATGCTTGACCAGTCACAGGACAACTCTTGCATCTAACCCTTATCTACAGTAAAATACAAAGCAATTACTAAGTCAGTGTTTACTGTATTGAATCTAATGGCAAATAAATGTATTTGGGTGCTATTGCACAGGATTGGGAAAAATTATACATTGGGATTATATTATAGCAAAATTTAAAATATTTACCTTGATATATTTATAGTACACTCAACAAAGACATACACTTTAATTGTCAGATGTTGATATGAATTGACTGTTAAAACCATGTGCAAACATATATAGCTGTACCACTAATAACAATGCACATTCACTTATGAACTTGATTACTGAAGGAAACATATTATAAAATTTCACAGCACATAATCACTGTCATTATTTATGTCCCATAATTAATGAATACATGAGCTCCTAGATGTAGACTTATGTAATAAATCGATCC